AGTAATAATTGTATCCATCCGCTAACTTCCCTGAAGCACGCATGTGTCCCCACATTCATACGGGACGCTTTTATAATAATCTTTCTGAAAAGCACACCCAGTTACTGGCGTAAATAAACACCACAGAAAAGCGAGAATTTGAGCATGGCTTCATACACTGCGAAGCATAATCATAGTTCCACCCATGAATCTCACAAAATCCTGTCTTACACGAAGTTTTCCAAAATGCCCCATACAAAAAATGTGGTAATTACCAATACCAATTCGCATGCCAACAACAAACACTAACTTGAAAAACAATTTTTTTTCGTCAATTTTTTCAAAAATGGTCGTTCTGACAACGCAGCAAAATATAGTTCCACCGAACAAATCGAATATTCCAACAACAAGTGTACAATAAAATGAATAAATTTTGATCCAGTAATCTATTGGAACTCTATTTCTCCAATTAAGTTGGAAAATACGGTTGCCCATGTTCGATTAGAGATTTTAATAGGCTTTCGGCCGACTGCCCCAATGATTAACTCCTAAGCTCACGGACCTTGTGGAATTGTGCATTACTCTCATGGATCATACGCACCATGAAGCCCCTCACATCCTCGATTGGGTTTTAGTCGGGGCTACTCGCTGGCCAGGGCAAAAGAGCGGTTTGGTGACAACTGAATCACGCTCGAGTGCTTCGACTGTCATGAACTGGTGCATTATCCTGCATGAAAACGGGACTTTCTTGCTGATTTCTACGCCAAGCAAGGAGACGTTGTCGCGTGACTTTTAGATGACGGAAGAAATCATTTCTTTTTTCATACGGAGCGCAGTTTCAGACGTTCCATTCATGCGATGGCAGCCCAGACCATGAGACCACATCCACTGAAGTTCCGCCCGGAAAAATGAAACTTGTCTTCCCTCAGGTCGTGCCAGCGGAATCGGTTTTCGTCGGAGCCGTCGCAGTTGAATTTTTTCTCATCAGAAAACACGACCGCGAGAAAAAACTGAAAAAAACACTACAGACAAGCAGTAGGGCACCGCAGCCAAAAGCCAACCTCACTCCATTGGGTTCGGCAACATCTTCGAGCAAAGCCAATTAGGTTTTCGCGATGGTTTTTCGTTAGAAACAGTACGTAACTCATATTCCTCCTATGGTGAACTCGGGCAACTTCCAAGGCACGCCTAACAGTATCCTCCGAGACATTAACCTGCGGAGATGACTTAATTTCCCGACACGACACTGCAGATTTGGATCTTTCCTAGGGATACGGCGGTCATATTATATTATGTGGTTAGATTATATCGGGCAGCAAAGAAGCATTTCCAGAGCTCTTCTCAACTCAATATCCTGTAGGTCCCTGAAAAAAATTGTTGATAGCATGATGAGTGCGGCCCGAATCCCGAGCGATCGACGCTTCACCAGTTTTTGAGCCTTCTTTGCGATAATCTGTCCTTTTTCGAGGTCCATTAATGAAGTTCCACTTGCCATAGCCTAGAAGAGGCGAGAAGTCATAATGATGAGAAGTTTCACCGAACAAAAATGAGATGCAGCCGGAAAATATGCGGTGGAACTATATTTTTGCTGCGTTGTCAGAACGACCATTTTTGAAAAAATTGACGAAAAAAATTTTTTCAAGCTAGAGTTTGGTGTTGGCATGCGAATTGGTATTGGTAATTACCACATTTTCTGTATGGGGGCATTTTTGAAAACGTCGTGTAAGACGGGATTTTGTGAGATTCATGGGTGGAACTATGATTATGCTTCGCAGTGTATTTCAACACTGCCAGTTACCAGTACTGATAATGCTCTTTGGCTGCTGACAACAGTGTTGTGCCAGCAACAAACGATTTACCAGATCGACTCTGCGTTTTTATGCGTGCTCGCCAAGACTACCACAGACGATGAGAACGACATTTGACCCTACGTTTCTTAATTTCTTAGGTGATGTTAGGATATTTGAAATGACTCACCTTGTCAATGTCGTGACCCTCAGCGAACGTAGCGAAAAACCAGGCCATCCGATCCGAATTGAATAAAACAGGGGGTGTATAAAACGTGAAATAGAAGAAATACAACATGGGAATCAAAAGAACGATAAGTGTGCGGTTGCCTTTGAACAACTAAAATCATAATCGGTATTTCGATTGAAGAATGTATACGAATGTTTTGGGTCGGCCCATAAGTAATGACTTTTTGTCCCACTCAAAATATAGCGCTGAAGAAGGAAAGTTTCGCCATCGAATTTCATACGTTTTGCAGAGAATTCTTCGCCTACAGATAGTTTTCTTGAAGTTTCTCTTTCAGCTGATATTTGAGTGCTCAAACTGGAGTGTCAGGTCGACGAAATTGAGCATTTTCGACAGCCTCTCTTTCATACCCTAATTAAAAAGCTAAAACCGCATGGGCCCAGCTGCTAAGTATGTGGCTGGAAGGCTATGTCTCTTAGGAATGCTAATAACGTTTAAATGATTCGAATATTCAGTTTCGACCTCACAGACAAGCATCGAACCTAATATTCTTGTCCAACTGAGAGCTTACGGAATTACCTTATTAACTGAGAATCATGCCAAAGATTGAGGGATCGTTAGAGGTCATAGAATGCTTCCTTATCATTATCAACCACCACCCTCAGTTGATGTTAGACGTTCGAAAATAAGTGGTAGGTTCTGCAGGCAGTCCCTCCCCAAGAGGGCCTCCTACGCGATGCTCTTTAAGGAGGTCCAAATCCACCTTTTAATCGCTTGAACCAGCTCCAAGCTTCATAAGACGCATCTTTCTTTGGTACTATATAATACAGAGCTTGAGCCCCTTTTGTAGATTGAGAGCCGAGATAAAATTCAAAAAGTAGTTGTCGAAAACTCACTTTTGGGTCGACCCGAATTTCCCTTTCAATGAAATAAAAATCGATAGAAACCAAGAAAGGTATGAAGGCAAATATGTAGCCTTACAGTGCGGAAAACTATCTATCCAGTATTGTAGAACATATTGGGAACAATTGTCATTTTCCATATAAAAATTTGCGTGACAAAAAACGCCACTACTTATGGGCCAACCTAATATTTTTGGAAAAAAGAGACAATAAAGGCCAGACTATGAGTACAGAGAGTCTCCAAGCAAATGAGTTTGCGGATAACACTTATTCTCAGAAATGCTATAAAAGCAAGGCGACCTTTTTCAATAATAAAATGTCGTCTCTATCACTATTAATTGGGCACTGCAATGAACAGAGAACGTGAGCTCGTCGGCCCACACATGAAAATGAAAGCGTACAGAGTGGTAGCGTGCAGTGCACAGTACAACAAAAGGAGATGCGGTGCTAACGTAATCGGGGGGGGGGGGGATCACGCATCTCGTCTTCTGCTCCCTCCTCGGCGAAGTATTAGGTCAGTCGAAGGTCTCCCCCTCCTGCTCTAACTGACAACCAGATGCATGTTCACACAAATGGCTTCCTGAAATGGAATCTGGATTTTCGAAAGGCGGACTGCTCTAAAATCCAGGCAATAAGAGGCTGTTTCAGCCTCATGCAATATGAGGCTGAACAACAGCCTCGCATTGCCTACAATTTTGTCTTAGGATTCAAAATAAAACTCGTCGTTCGACAACCATGTATGACATGCAACTTTTAACAAGGAACGCTACTAAAACAGCGACTAATAGTGATTAACAAGGAACGCTACCAAAAGAGCGACTAATAGTGATCATTGGTGAAAAAGACAGCTCCAGGGTCAGTGTGTCAGGCCCAGATGTGCATTCAATGAATGGTGACGGGGAAATCATGAAAACATGCACGACACAACAAAGCGAAACATGAAAAATACAAAAAAATGCGGAGCCAAATGAAAAAATGGATAACCAGGCGGCAGTATATCGTTCTATACTTCGGCTATTATCGATCGCAACGTTGCGACCGCTTTCATTGGAAAATTCGTCATTGAAGCGCGGCTGGACCTATCAGCGTCCTAGGGTATTTCAAGGAGAGTATCTCTTTTAGGTGCAAGGCTTTTGGAAATGGTTAGCAGCATGCTATGGAAAAGTTACTACTGTTGCGTTTTCTACCTAGTTGCAATCTGAATGTTCCCCCGTTGGTGAAATATTCCGGATGGGTTTCGGATCGGCTAGGGGTAATTCGCAAGCGGGTTTTTATGCTTCACACGAGGATTGCTTCTTTCAACGCAATTTCATCGGTAGAAATCGTCTTGAAACCGCCCTATCTTTTCTCTTTCCAATAAGCTTTACAGTTTTCCTGAAGACCCGCTAGTTCAGGAGATATTTTAGATGGGTCACAGACGCGCTACCCTCTGACCCACCCGAAAAATCGACTCCTCCTGAGCCATTGTGAGGATACACCTTCGGAAACTTTGATGTTTCTCCAAAAGACATATTCCCTTCAAATGAGTGAAAGAGGAGCTCGGCTATCACTGATCGATTTGGTCCGAGTGTACGCCGTGCATTGCATTACGCAGAGGGATGGATAGGTGCTTTTCAGGTACTTTTTCCATGCAAGCAGATGTTTGTTTAGGGTTTGGAAAGGACAATACGCACGAATCTGTTTGAGACGTATTATTTAGTCATCTACGTACTTACGAGTTCATGCTATTAATTGATATTTATTTATTTATTCTTGCTATATTGCTAATCAATTTTTTATTATTTTGTAGTCCTCCTTACATCCGGGTCTTCTGCAGCTTTCCGTCCGTTCCATCAAACTTAGCAATGACACTTTTGTACTGTATGCTCAGCGAGCCTACATTTGCGATCCTCCCCACTCCCCTCCCCCAGCAGCCAAGTACGATCCCCCTTTTTGGGGATTTCGCATGAAAAGAGGGCTGTTAAACGTAGCAGTTAAATCTGTAAAGAATACACTCATAATAATTTTCATTTTTTTAACATCTTGACTTCCATAGCTCCACTCCCACTATCAACTGAAATGTCGAAGCATTGCCCGGCTCTGAGTGACCCTTGAGATTACGACCCCCCCCCAGCGGCCAAGTACGACCCCCCCCTATGGGTTTCGCATAACGATGCTGTACCCTGACCAGGGTATCCATTTGTCAGTCTCTCCTTCTCCGCCCACATCGCAAGGAAGTTTCTGGAGGACCTAGTTACTGGAGATGAAAGCTGGATCCTCTACGACGCTAACAAGCACCGCGCCGTCTGGCTCCCGCGAGGAGAACAGCCGCCGACGCAAGCCAAATCCGACCTCCACCCCAAGAAGTTTCTCCTTTGCTGCTTCTGGGATTCAAAAGGAATGCTGTACTACGAACTGCTCAAGCAAGGCCACACCGTCACCGCTCCCTATTACGCTGGTCAGCTGCAGAAACTTGCGGAAGCCGTTCGAGAAAAACGGCCTAGACGAACTTTTGTGCACCTCCATGACAACGCTAGGCCTCACATAGGTAAAGAGACCCGTGCAAAATTGGAGGAGCTAAGCTGGGACACGATTCCAACCCTATTCACCTGATATTGCCCCTCAGATTACCACTTGCTCCCCCTCAAGGCTTTCTTAGCAAAAAATTGATTCTTCAACTATGACCACTTTGAGCAAGTGATCGGTGACTCTTTGACTCCCAATCTTCCCGGTTATGAGAGAAGGGAATCGCCGACCGACCTGTAGGACAATGACTAACGATGGTTATATATTGTTGATCAGCTTGCATTGTTTGCTGAGTTGTAAAATAAAACTGAAAAATCCTCAACCCTATACTTTTTGATCATGAATATAACACCGCCCTACGCTCATATATGGAAGGCAAAACAGCGCTGTAAAGTGCAAAGAAACAATTGGAGGTCGCGAGTTGCCTGAGCCTACAAAGAAGGAAGATCTGGTCTAGAGAACCCATCCTATGTGTAAAAGTGACAACCAATCAACCAATCCGCAGAATCTAAAAATAATCTATAGCTACCTATCAAATCATAGAAATTGAACCCTAAGCAGTTTCCTCACAATAATATTATAAGACAATTCATCTCACCAACTCTCTTCACCTTCCCATTTGAAGTCCATCTGTTTCCCGCTTTAAATATGACAGGAACCATCTGTGCGCTGTTTCAAACACATTCCCGGCGGATGTTTTTTTTCTGTTCTTATTTGGCTGCTACTTTCGCGCTACGCCGAGAATATCTATGGGCTGTTTTGAGTACTACCTTGCCGAGGAAGGAGCGGAAGAGCAGCTGAGTCATCGCTCGCGAGCCGCGTGGTCCCCCCTCCCCCTCCAAATACGTTAGCACCGGAAATGCTGGTGAAGGGTGAAAATTCGGAAGCCTCTAGCAAGCTCATTTGGTATTTAACAGCAGCAGCAGAGAG